TTCCATTAATTTTGGTTTTCTTCTTTCTTCTTGACGAGGAGAGACCCGTTGTTGCATCTAGATGGCAGCTTCCTAGCTTTTAAGGTCCCAGTCGCTACTCACCAAAGTAGTAGGTGAAACAATGTTTTGTATAGTATGTTATGCCGATTGAGCTTGATGTCCCCTGAAAAACATTTCACACAGTCTTAGACTGTGACCTAGTAGTATAAAAATTTCTCATCCATCCCTAAACTTTTATATTTTTCTTCTTAAAGAGTTCATATTATACACAGAAATAACTGATAGGCATGAAAACATAAAATATTGAATAAACCTTCAGGAAACTAATGGGAGAAAAAAAAAAACTTGCCATGGTTAACTCTAATTATTACTTCCTTTTAGAACCACCAGAGCATAGCTCTCTGGCTTACTTAAAAAGTATTAACTGATTAGGCAATTCTGCATGTGAGGTTCAGTGCTATAAGATACTAAGGTAAGTCAGAAAAAAATGTGTTTCAAGAATTGTACAATCTATTCTTTACTAAAAAGCAGAGCATGATAAATCTTCATAGCAGAGGTAATGTTAGAGAGCTAAATCACCTCCAGCAAATGGAAATCTGCTTTCTAAATATTTATCATAAATCATGTATCATGAAGCATACCAGTTAAGCGCTAGAGCTCTGGTGTCAGGCAGATGCTGATTCAAAGCTTATGTGTGACCTTGATCAAGTACTTAAATCTGAGCTTCAATAACTTCATTTGTAAAATGGAAACATAAGATAAAATAGAATATGCCACAAAGGAATAAATGTGGATTTAAAGAGATAATGTTGGTCAATATTACTCTTTACTTTGCACCAATCATTACAGAAAAAATGGGAAAACAAACAAAAAATTAAAACCACGTAATATACCACCACTCAGAGATAAATACTATGAACATGTAGTATTTATTGTCTCACAATCTGGAGGAGGATAGGGTTCCAAAATACTTTAACAAAAAAATGGTACACATTTAAAAAAGTATACGTGGTTGAGTGAAATAAGTCAATCACAGAAGGACAAATATTGTATTAGTCCACTACTGTAAAAAGTCAAGGAAAGGATTATATACTGAAGGAAACTTTCTTTGCTGGTTACTAGGGATGGGAGGAGAGGGGAAAGAAAATTTCTAGATAGGTTGAAAAAATACATACATATACATACAGACATACACACACACACACACACACACAAAAAAAACAACAACAACAACAAAGATTATTAGTGGTTACCAGAGGTAAAAGGGAGGGAGAAAGGAGAAGCTTTTGTTTTGGGGACACTGAGTGTATACCATTGGTGGTAGAATATTTTGGAAAAGGATAGCAATAATGGTTGCACAACATGAAAAATGTCAACAATGTCCCTGGGATGTAAATGTGGAAGTTGTTATGTTGGCAAATGTCTTGTTGTATATGTTTTTACCTTAACAAAAGTAAAAAAAAAAAAAATAACACACACACACACGTATGTATGTATATGGGTATCTGTGCAAGTTACTTACAGAAAGGTTCAAAGTAACCCTAATACAACCACAGGAAGTTACCTCTTTTCAACATGCATAAGCAAGCCTAGGACTTAGCTCTCATTATCACGATCTTCCCAAGGCATACTTGTCAGTCAGATTTCAGGGGCTCCATCTGTGTATGTTGGTTACGTGACCTTCTCATTCAGGTGATGTGTCTCAAAGAAATCACACAGTGGGGGTCATTTTTGTCAGTGGCCAGTCTGCGCATTTCCAGTACTGATTCACACTCTTTCCCAAGTGAAAGAACTCTCATTGCATTCAGCCTGCTGCCCCTGTCATCAACTGGGTTCTTGGAAGGGATGGACACTGGGAGGAGGTAACTATGGGGAGGAAGTGGGAGGGGAGCTGCTGCATTGTAAATTTTGGTCAATGACATGAGACAAAGTATATGTGAACTGCTGTATGAAAAGTGAATTTACTCTGTAAATCTTCACCCAAATCCTAATTAAAAAAAAAAAAAAAAAAACTGGGTTCTTGAAAGTCTGAAGGATGATTAGCCACCCCACTGGTTCTGCAGCTTCATCAGTTTCTTCTTCCTCATGAGACTGGTGAAGAAAATATTTGGCAAAGTCCTTCACAGACACATCTTTACATTCAAAACAGTAAGAATCAGGGAGGTAGTAAGTGGAGGTACAGCACTACAAGATAATCAGGTGGTTGACAGCAGCCTTCTGTTTCACAATTTTTTTAAAAGGAAATCTCTCTGTATCTCCTATTCTGTAACCTGTTTAATTCATTAACCTGTTATAAATCTAATAGAGACATTTTTCAATGTCTGCATAGTGTTGCCTTCTAAGGATAGAGAATAATTACTTAGCTAGTGAGTATCTTTGGAAATTTTGTTCTTTCCCCCATAATTCTGCTATTGTAAACACTACTATGAGGAGCCAATAAATAAATCTTAGTACACTTCTCCAATTCTAGATTAGAATCACTAGAAATAATTCATGGAAGTAGACTACTAGTTGACAAGTTATATAACCAAAATTTTAAGTTTACAAATCAGCCAGATTGGGGGCGGGGGGAAGAAAAGGAAAATTAATGGTGTGGGGAAGTGGAAGAAAAAGGGAAAAAAAGCGAGGGGGGAAAGAGGGAGTGACTGAGAAGAAGGGAACAAAGAAAAAGAAAAAGGAAAAGAAAGAAAAAACCTGGTACAGTGTTAGCTGCCAAGCATAGCTGCAGCAGTATTGCAATGTATTCTGGGAGAGTTCACACTCCAATACAAGGAGGGGTGGGGGCAAGAAGAAAATGATAGAAAAAAAAGGGTGAAGAGGAAGAAGTAAAAGGAAAGAAAAGAAAACAAAAGGGAGAAGAGGGAATAACTGAGAAGGAAAAAGAAAAGGGAAGAAAGAAAAATAGCACCATATTGTCCAAAGTGCCAGCCACCAAACACAGCTGTGTCAGAGTGTATACTTTTGATCAGGGTGGGGTAGGGACAGACATTACTAACCATGTGGACAGTGGTGGAAGGGCTCCTGCTCTTTGGGGAAGTTGGAAGGAGGGAAGAACTAAGCAGACAGAAGGAAAAAAAAAAAAAGTGGCTCAACACTGTCAGTAGGGGCAGTCTGACCGGCCACAGGGCAGGTGGAGGTGGGGAGAACCTTGTTTCTAGTCACTGGGAGGTTGTTTAAGGTAAGATGGGAGGGCACACCTCTCTGGTCGCCTGATCACCAATGTGGGTGCTAGTGCAGTCCTGGGCGTGTGGAGCCAGTTATCTGGTTCCTGCTCCAATCAGAACACTGCTTGCATAAATTCAAAATGGCCACACTGAGCCAGTCAGCAGTTTACTGCTCCTTGTTCACTGTTTTCATTCAGTCTCTTCCTCTCATCGGTATTTGAACTACTTGTTTATCCTTTCCTTTGAAGCTGTGGGACCTAGGACTGTCATCTGCAGCTGTTTCCTTGTTTTTTTGAATCTTTGTTATAGAGGGTCTGGAGCTTGTGTCTGCCTAGTCTATCTTGGACCCTACAAACTGGTTTTCCACTGAACAATTCATAAACTTTTGTTTCATGACAGTGCTGTAATTCCCACAATGCACCACTACTCCTCCCCACTTCTTCCCTGTACTTACCATTTCCATCTGTCCTTTTTTCTTATCCCTTCCTGACTTTTGAGCTTTATCCTTGGACAAAAGCTGCTCCTCTGATCCATAGGGCCAACTGTTCAAAGCAGTGTATATCTCTCTAGTGTTACTGTTTACTTTATAGGCCTGTCTTACTTGGCTGAAAGTTGAGCCCCTGGGGTGAGTTCAGATCCAGGCTTGAAGGATGACCAAGGGCCACAGTGTCCAAATTTAATTTAAATATTTTAGATGGAAATCCTCCTAGTAAACTCATGGCCACAATTTATTAAGTGATTCACTAAATATAGATTAGAAGACGTGAAATGTTTATGGGGTCAATACTGCCGCTTTCATTCTCATAATCTTCAGAATGCTCGATTTTTGGAGGTGATTTTCTTGTCCATTCTCTATCATGTGTGCTTTGCCAACTAACATGTTTACTTAGAGTACTTTTCTACCCCTTCAGCAGATTTGTATGTATAGTATGATCTGCTATATTCAAAGAATAGCAATTGCCAGAGGGAAGCATATAACAATGTTAATTTTATACATGATTCCTGGTCAATAAGCTGCTAGTTGCACACCTCTTTTCAGAAAATGGACATGGGGTTTATGACAGCTATTACCCTCACTCATCATATGCCCTTTTAAAAAGTTCATGTATGGATTTAGCCATATGCCAGAAGCCACAGACGTCATGAGAGAAAACCAAGGAATCCATTGAAACCAAACCTGCAGCCATCATGTCGATTCACACTCACAGCAACTCTTCAAGGACAAAGAACTGACCTATAGTGCTTCCAAAGACATAATCTTTACAGCAGCAGACTGCTATACCCTTCTCCCACGGCTGTTGGGTTTAAACTGCTAATCTAGCAATTAGCGGCAGAGTGCTTTAACCACTGTGCCATTAGGGCTCCAAGGAAGTTAATACCCCCTCCACCAAAAAAACTCCTAGGTATAAATAATAAACCAAAAAAAGGGTGTGTGGGGGGGCTAATAGGTCTAACAAATTCTTATAACAAAAATATATAAGGATTACATTAATAAAATTAAACAGATGCTACCAAGATGAACAAAATACCTTACCACAAGCATTATGGGCTCACAGACTCTTTGCTTAAATTTATCTCTGTTACTTCTTAGCCATAATACAGCATCATATGTGTCACGGAATCTGTGTCTCAGCTTCTCTTCCTTTTGATTCATAAGACTGTCAAAACGTATAATGTGATCATGCACACCTAAAATTGGAAAATGAAAACAGCACTGTTTCTCTGAAAATCTTAATTAGTAATTAATCTATTAATACTACAAAAGAGTATCTTGTATCTGAAGGTTACAAAGATAACTCAGCAACTATCCAGCATAATTAAAAAGATCCACCTTGAACAAATCATTGTAAAATTTTCAAATGCCCAGAATGTAAAAAGATCCTTAAGCTACTGGAAAGAGAAAACAAGTTACCTACAAAGGAATGGAAAAAGTACTAGACTTCCTATTGGAAAACAATGGTGGTAGGCCTTCAAAATTCTGATAGAAAAATTATTTTCAGGGAC